ACACTTGTGCTATGAGCACAGATGATTATTTTACTAGTTGTATAAACTAGCATGTTGCCGCCTGCAAGAATTGAATATTCATGTCATGTATTTTCAGAACAATTTTGCACAATAAATATTTTAATTGAAATTAAATAAGACCAAATAAATTACTTACTCTGAGTTTCTAATTGGCCTTTGAGACCTTCATCCCATGTGACATTATAAGGTTCAGTACTATTGTTTATCTCACATTTGGCTTTTGCTTGGAGAATATCATTTTCGGTTTTACAGCGTGGAAATGATGGCTCCGTGAAGACTTCAATGTTTGGTAATAGTGCTACATCCAGTTGAGCACTGGCTTTGTGTAACATGTTGACTGTACAGCCTGATGTGGTGCAAGCACCCGTTTGGTGGTAGATACATGAGAACTGTCCTAAGAAACAAACACAAGTGGGGTTAAAGCCAGCAGATTTTGTGATTTAGGTTGATGTTCAATTCTGGATTCTTTTCATTCTTTCACATATGTGTTAAAAGTGAATTTCTTCTGTTTTGCCATCATTGTATCTCTGGTTAATTATTAACAGTACCAATAATAATATAATGGAACATTCATACATACCATTCCAGAGTTCTGTGACGTTACTGAGGTTGACTGTACTGTTAGTTCGTGATGATGTATGAACTGTTGAAACTGTTCCAGTAGTTATGTCATATTGCCCTTTGCTATTTATTATACTCCATTGTGGGTAAATTTTCAGGTCCTCTTTGGTTGTGCATCTGATCACTTGGTTGGCAGAACCATAAGGCACAGGCATTGGTGGCATCTCTAAGTTGACAAGACCTGTGGAGGAAAAAAAAAAATAATGAAATTTCAGTCCCTGAAACTTAAAAACCTATCCAGTGCTGTGAACACCACAGATTGAAGGTACTGTTTTGGAGCAACAGAATAAATCTTAAAATTATTATAAACTAAAACTAGATGCATAAAGATCTGTGACTTTCATTTTATCTTCATCAGAGTAATGATTGCATCCATAACAAAGCTGATTTCACTTTGGTTTTTTGGGTTTTTTGGTGGACAGAAAATGATGATCATGGAGAACTAAGAAGAGAACAGAATTTACATTTTTTTTAAACTCACATGTTGGAAAGAATTTCTTGCATACAGTATACAATGCACCCCTCTGCAGTAAGATTACATTACCTGAAGTCTCCATATTAAGTGAGGCGGACAGACTTTGGCCAATCTTTACTGAATTACTTATCAGAGCTTGTGAATCGATGCTGGAGGCAATGATTATTTTAAAGTCTGCAATGATGCTACCAATCCTTCAAACAAACAAAAAAAAAGAAAGAGGGATTTTACATTTTTATTAGATAAATGTAAAAACACATTTTTTTATTTGTAATTGCACAAATATACCTGAATCCTGTAATGTTTAAAAAGTCAAATCCCCACAGAGTGCTGTACACTGTTTTCATCTAAGAGGTAACAAAGGATGGAAA